TGGTTTACCTGATGCCAACTTTTCTGAGTGTTTGTGTTCATCTTTTCATCATTCCCTCACCACTCAAGTCAAGCCAATCACTGGAGCCATGCAGAGTACAATACAAACTTGTTGCAGAATATTTTATCACACTGTGAATTCTGAGATTACATTGTATACTAGAAAAAAAACTGTTTCTAATTGTGGTGTGGCTCAGCCCTAGCACACACCTTTAATCTAAGAGCTTTCTGCTTGAGTATTGTAAACAGGATTAAATAAAGTTAACCATGGGTCAAGAGGCAGAGCAAGTAACCAGTTGACAGGAAGTGAACATAGAAAAAAAAAAAACACAGAGAGTAAAAGGAAGTCAGGGGGATGGATAGGGAGTCGCACAGGAAGTAAAGGGAGGGACATTCAGTTTTGAGGGTTTTTTGAAGCATAGGGAAGGAGGTTGCCTTTTCCTTCTGGAACATCAGCTGAGGAGGAAGGTGGACGCTTTCTCTGCCTCTCTGAGCTAGCAGGTTTTCACCCCAGCATCTGGCTCCTGGGTCTTTATTGGTAAAATTTAAAAAAAAAAATGGGATTTTTTTTTTTTAAAAAAAACAGCACAAGCCCCTTCTTCAGTGAACCAGACAGTTGGACCTTCTAAGAGCCTCTTAGGAGAAAAGTCTTGTTCCATCAAGATAAAATAAATACCTTTGGAGATGCCCACAGGAGACTTGCCACCAAGTGTCTCATGATCCGCAAAAAAATGACACAAACATTCTAACCAAAAATGCCTGATAATGTGATGAGAGTGGGAATGGCCCAACCCATCATGTCTTCTAAGCTTCTTAACCCTGTACACTACTGAACTGGGGGATGTTCCAACCCATGAGGTCTTCTTGAGGGATAGATTCCCCCCATTCCAGAGACCCTCTGTTTTTGGCCTTCCCCACTTAGGAAATTCATTTCCTCAGCTCCCCTGCTATAATTCATCCTCAAAAGCTAACATCGGTCTAATTCTGGCAAGCTGAAGAAACAGTTAAAGGCTTGCTGTAACACTATCTGGCTTCAACGTAGCCTGAGTCATCAAAAAGTTTGACCAAAGTATGGAAGAACCTATACTTGGTCCCGGGTGCTTGTACCTCTGAGGGAATGCAAAGGCTTTGGGAGCTAGGTGTGTGGGTCAAAGTTACTCAGAGTCCCAATGGCAATCTTCCCAGAGTGTGTGTCCTTCCAGGTCACTCCCCACTCACGATTACACCACCACAACAGGGACCTATAGACTCAGGCTGATGACAAAATGCCTCCTGGCAGCAATGGGAAGTCACATTAAGAACCTCATCAATTATGATAAGATCAAAGAGGTTACTCAATAAAGAGAAGCTCAGTCTCTGACATGAACTCAGTGGCCTGCTCTTTGATCACCTCCCCGTGGGGGGTAGAGACTTGCCAGGCCACAGAGGAAGATGATGCAGCCAGCCCTGATGAGATTTGATAGAAGAGGAGGAGGTCCTCTCCTATTAGGGGACTAGGGAAAGGGCACAGGGGGAGAAGAGGGAGGGTGCATGGGACTGGGAGGAGACAAGGGAGGAGCTACAGCCGGGATAAAAAATGAATAAATTTTAATAAATAAATAAATAGAAATAAAGAGAAGGAAGCTCTGTCCACTTTCTCAACTGGTTAGTCAGGACTTTGAGAAAATGAGTGCTATCTCAGTTTGCCCTTCTCTGCTCTTTATGTCTTGGACCTAAGTCTGCACGACATGCAGCTATATGAACTTTCCACTTTGCTGTACTAAGAATGCACTCAAATTTCATGTCATTATCTTCTGTCTGTCTGCCGTCATTGTTTTAGTGTTGCTTTGAGTCTAAAACATTGCGGGGCAAAATTCAATCTGCTCCTTATAATCACTGAAGGTAGCTGAGCAGCAAATTTGTAGCCACTTCACGTTCACATTTATTGCACTTACTTTACGCAAAAAGTCATATTTGGAGGCATGCCTAGCTTGTGTGTGTGTGTCTGTCTGTCTGTAAATCCAAGCATTTCGGGGTGAGTTTAACCTGGAATTGTAGTATAAAGATATAGGAGATATTGCCTGTTCACGTGTGTGTTTCTCTTTTGAAAAGTATTCTTTTTTCAAGGTCCTTATCTTGGCCAAGTTGGTCATTTTAACTTTTTTAGATTTATTTTACATGTGTGAATGTTTTGCTTGCATGTATGTATGCGCGCCACATGCATGCTTGATGAGTCCTAAGGTCAGATGTGCATATAAGTTCTCCCAGAACTGGAACTACAGATGGTTGTGAACTCCTAAGTATCAGGAACTGAATCCAGGTCCTCTGCAAGAGTAGCCAGTGCTCTTAACCACTGAATCATCTTTCCAGCACCCAAAAGCTGCCATTTTAAAACCAAGCCATTGTTTCTTTCTCAGCCTGCTTAGAGGCTGTCAAAAGACAATGTCATATCTCTGTAGTTTCACATTCAGAGACAGAAGCAAGCAACACGAAAGAGGAGGCATGAAAAGAATTAAGCGCAAAGGGCCGAACTTCCTGACTTTGGTTAAAAAAAAATCTTGAGGACCAACTACCATATTTTGCCTTGGTTCCGGCTATAGCTCCTGGTGTTTTTATTGGGAGATAAACTACATTATTAAAAAGAACTATGTTCTAAATAATAAACCACCAAGTAAGAAAAATATATAAAAGGTCATAAATACAAAATATATTTATGTTAGAAAAGGTTAAAGAGAAAAATAAATGCTTAATAATAAGAGACTGTGATGGAGTAGATTTCTGTCCTAAAGTTAAATGATTGTTCAAAGATGGAAGTAGAAAGAGAGGAAGCCCAAACTGCAAAGTTTAAGGGGCCAGGTGTGGTAGCGCTCTTTAATCCCAGCACTCAGGAGGCAGAGGCAGGCAGATCTCTGAGTTTGAGGTCAGCCTGCTCTACAAGCCCTAGGAGAGCTAGCGCTGCACAGAGAAACGCTGTGTTGAAAAACAAAAACAAACAAACAAAGAATATAGTAGAGGGCCTGAGTGCGCCACAGAAAGACTTACAAGTGTAAAACATCAAGATGACATGCATGTAACTATGTTTACTACCATTAAAGCGCTTTCTGTAACTTAGAGTCAGGGAGCACTAGACAGTTACTCTGTCAGTCGGTTGTCTTCAGATGTTTGAAGGGAACAGAGCAAACAGATGGTAAATTCCAGGAGCCACAAACCAGCCTTTGAATTTGCCTTTTGGTATTTTTGCCAACATCAATGCACTTATTAACTCATATTTTAGTGTACACAGTGTTAGCTTTAAATTATCGGAGTTCTGGTGATGGTTTATGATGTGATCTTGCTCTATTGTCACACCGACTTATTCCACGGTCATAGCTGCCTCTGCAATTAGTCCTTATCTCTCTGAGTGTTAGAGGACGTTGGGAGCAGGGCCTTACAGACACTGGGTGAAGTTCGTCAAGGAGACAGTACTCTGCATACAGTGGTAAGAAACTATAGCTCAGTCTTGCCACAACCTAGTCCATATTTTCCTTGTGAAGTCATTAGTTGATAAGGCCACAAGAGATTAAAGCTTCCAACCAGTAACATGATGAAGGTGCAGAAATTCCAACACAGAAACAAAATATTTTTTAAGGGAAACATGATTTTTTTTCAAAAGTTAATAGCATCCCCATCACAGTAAAAAAAAAAAAAAATGGCAGTAGTGTAGATGAGATTCCAGAAAAATGTGTTAAAATGAGTATATATAATGATTAAAAATATAAAGAAACAATATTCCCTCCATCATTCACAGCTGAGGGTACTACAACTAAGGTCAGGTTTGCCTGGAAGATAGAGCCAGCAACCTTACTAATTCTGCATTTTTGAGCAGAAGTAGGGTTTGGGCTAATTGCAATTTGGTTAAATTACAAAATACGGGTCCATTAAACAATAATAACATCCTTACTGCAGATGACTCCCAACATGCAGTGGAGGGGAATTCTTCAAATTTCCTCTTACCAGAGAGAACGGCGGTGTTGGCCAAGCAAGGGCAAGGACCCTTACGAGACTAGAAATGTAAGCTTAGCACCTTCCTCACCTCCTGACAAGCCTTCCATACACTCCCATCACTCCCATCATAGTTGTGATTCTGAGAACACATCTTACGGTAGACTGGGGTCTGAGTTAGGAATCCCACTGAAAAATGTGATCCAAGGGAAAAAAACGCATGGCATCCCAAACTCACTCCCCCCTTCACGCCCCCTTTATTGCCTTTTCCTCCCTTTCTTGTCTCCCTTTCTTGAATGCTTCTACTGACACAACCCATTATTCAGCATTGGTGTCATATAGCCAGGTGTGGTGGTGCACTCCTGTAATCCCAGCACTTAGGAGGCAGAGGCAGGCAACTTGTTTTGAGTTCAAGGCCAGTCTGGTCTACAAAGTGAGTCTAGGGCAGCCAAGTATACACAGAGAAATCTTCAAAAACAAACAAGCACACTCACACACACACATACACACACACACACACACACACACACACAAAGGAGTCATCATATTAGGAGGGTGTCTATTAAGCTACGTTTCTCAGGACAGATTGAGGCAATTGTCACAAATCAAGTACAAGTGATGATGTGGCTTAAGCCTCAGGAAAAACAATAACAAGAAAGACCCTTCCTCCATGTCATCATGGGTATGGATTCACTGGTGATGATGTGACCAGATGGTGGCATTTATTCTACACAACCTCTTGGTGAAGAATTTCAGAATATTTTAAAGGCTTTTTTTCCCACTTTGACATTTATTTTAAGTGAATGACAAAGCAGAAAATGGTGCTACTTACAACACTGGATGATGCTGGATCTGGAAAGAAACACACAGACTAGTCTTTCTTGATTACAAAGCCAACAGATCTTGCTTCCCCCTTCTAGTGTTTACTTTTTTGGAACATGCGTGGCTTCAGCATCTCCTTACCCAATAAAACCAAACCAGAAAAAGGGCTCCAGAAAAGGCAGTTCTCACCTTGGGCTCACTCAGAGCCCAAGGTAAATGTCATATGCCCTTTATGTAACTGACAACAGCATTTGCAATTTTTGTGGAGCAGGGGAAAGAGAACGGCTGCTTATCAAACAAAACGATGCATCCATGAAAGCCATCTTCCACGTGGTACCAGCTCAGAGGGACCCCCTGGTCTTCCAAGCGCTTCTTGTAGAGCAAGGCATCATCCCGGAGAGGGTCATTCTCGCAGCTCACCAGGAATGTCTTCGGAAGCTGAGCAATGATTTTGTCATCTACCAGGAGAGGTGAAATCTCCGCATCAAAAACATGTTTGGTTTCCAGATAGGCAGCCTCGTTGAAAGGCCCTGGAAACTCAGGCACAAGGCTTTTGCTCTTGAACTTTCTGGGGATGTTATCAGAGCTGAGCCATTTCTTGTACTTCTTCCAGGTATCTGGGGGCACAGAAGAACCTTTACGAATTGCATCTTTCCAGGACAAGTCAATGTCCAGGTATTCACACATAGCCAACATGAGTATGTCTTTGGTGAGGAATGGGACATTTTCATTCTGCTGATGTGATGGTAAGCTAAAATTGATGACCTGCATAGCTGGAGTAACAAGAACTTGAGCACAGATCTTTGGGAGACTTGGGTAGCTAAGCAAGGTCTGGACGACAATGGCCACAGCCCCACCTCCAATACTTTCTCCACAGGCTATCACTCGGGAGGGGTCTACCCCATAGGTTGTTAGGGCCTTCATGAAGTGAATGGAGGCATTCAGGCAATCCATAGTAACACAAGGGTGATGGTAGTCAGGAAGCTTGCGGTACCTGGGAAGAAACAAACCGAGCACACTGATATACACAAGGGTCACAGCAGGCCATGTGAACAGCATCCTCTGCTCTCATAGGAAAAAAAGAACCTGATTAAATTCTCAAAATGACCCTAGCAAGTAAGGTGGGTATCCTAATTTTTCCTATGAGGAATATGAGGAACCTGCCAGAGTCAGGGAAGCCAGGATTCTCTACTTCAACCTGCATTATGCTTTCCATAGATGACTAAGCCCCACAAGGGACCTGAAAGCCTTAGGAAACAGGACAACCAGCAAAGAGCCAGAGGTGGTGACTGGAGTTCTGCTGGCTCCACTGAGACACGTTAAGGGTTTGGGCTCTCCCTGATGTCTCTCGTGAGTATTGCTAAAAACACTGTTTCTATATCAATGTCGTATTAATAACATTGGTTATTAATAACATAAGGTCTTAATGTAAGTACACCTTTTACTGTTTATTTTCTTGGAGTTAAACGAAAGTGTTAGGGGATGGGGCAATTGGACTCCCTAACTAAAAGTTCTTAGACTCTTCTCCAATGTCCTGGGTGATTTGAGAAAATGGCCATTACTTGCACAGTCATTTGGTCTACCCTCACACCAACACTGGTCACTTGGAAGAATATACATCCCTTGAAAAAGCTACACAACAAAGCTATACAACAACCACAGCCACTTGCTGATAAGACACTCTAGCTCTTGCACTGCAAACCCACCAACTATTCCTAATAGCTTTCACCAGACTTTCCCTGTAACTTTCCCACCAAAACCATGGTGGCCTTGAAGAGTTAATGCTGAAACTGCAATAAGAGGGACAATGACACCATTCTCATGAATGCAAGGAGCTAGTTACAGGAATGAGGGACTGATGGTAGGGGTGACAGCAAAAGCACAAGAATTGCAGCAGTCCAGAGGCAAGAGAGTACCATGTAGTGACATGAATGGTGGCAGAGGCACAAAGACCATTGGGCCCCTTGGCAGTGGGAATTGCTGGTCCTTAGAAGGAGCTAGAAGCCTTAACAACATAGAAACTGTAAAGTGGCCTTGCAGCACCAGAAGTGAAGTTTTAAGAATGGCAGCAGAGAACAGAAGTGAAGACACATTGGCAACAGTTGCAGCAGGACACAACAGCAGACGATAGAGGATACGGGCAGAAGTAGCCATAGATGGGAAATGAAAACAACAGAAGCAGTAACTGCTGCCTTAAGGGCTAAGGGCTTTAGACACCCTCGCTTGAGAATTAGAATATAGGTGTTGTAAAGGCCTGAGAGGCACAGATATCCAAGAGGGCTGTGACACTCAGCACCATTGGGTTTAAAGTCCCATTACCAGAAGCAAGAATTAGTTCAGTGAGCCCACAGATGGCACCTCCTGGGGCTCCTTGTTCTCTGCTGACCACTATCTGCTTCAGAAGCCAAGGGCTATGAAGCCAGGAAGGACCAGTTGGATGATCTCCTCATCTATCTGCAATTTTCACCCTGGTGAAAGGAAAAGACCCCCAGGCCATGATTGGTACCACCACTCTCTGTCAATAAAAGCACGGATACTTTATTTAGACCCAGGGACATTACTTCCAGGAAAGGAAGGTCAGAAAGGGAAAAGAAAAGGAAGAAAAAAGAATGAGGGAGAGGGACAGGAAGGAGTGCACAGGAAGGGCTAAAAATGGAGGGAGGGCCGGGTAAGGAGGAATGCTGGGATAGATGACTGCTGGTGTCATCAGCTTAGCTCACAGCAGCCCTCTGGCAGTCCCAAGCCTTTTCCCTACATGACTTTTCCCTACTCGACTTGCCATTCTAGTATAGCTTCTCTGGCCCATGAATCAGAACTCTGTAAGTATCTGGAATGCCACACGGAGGAAGACCCTTCAAGATTTCAGATCAGGTGCTTGCCCACTTCTCTGCAGTTCTATTCAGGAGGATCTCAGAGATACAGGGTCCCATACATCTCTGAAGTTCAGACGCTGTGGGAAGTTTAGGTGGGAGGAGGTCTCTGGAGTCTGGAAAGATGCTACCCTCCCTAAGCCACCAGAGAGGAACCTAGCAGGGCAGTTTTCAATTTCTCACTCCGTTATTTAAACTGTCCTATGGACTCTGTTTTCAAACTATGATGAATATCCCTCTCTGTCCTCCATCCTCTCAAGAAGCCCTTCATTTTCAAAAGACCAGAGTTGGGTCTTAGGTTACGCTCTACATTCATTCAAAGTGGTCTGTACTTGGTGGGTTCAGACACATTTTATTGTTGCATTGAACACCAGTACCATCAGCCAATAATATTCACGACTTCAATTGACCTGGACCATCAGCCAACTCTGGTTACATCACCATCCCCAAAGTCAGCCTTACTCTACCAAATAAAAAGACATCTTGAGTTCAGTATCTGTCATCTCTTCTTTTGTTCTCTATTTCCAATGCCTGTTGGTCTGTGTATGTCTTAGAAAGTGTTCTTTTTGACATCAATGGATTTAACTTCACAAAGAGGACATAAAAGGTCACTTCTGGCTTTGCACTACCTGAGTTCCTTCACACCATGGTGTGCCCTTCCTAGTTCTCTACTGTGTGGCTCTATATTGTTTCACAAGAGCCCAGTACTCGGTAGTATTTTATATTCCTTCTGTCACAGTTAGACAGTGCACTTCCCAGGAATGTGTTGTGGCTATGTTCACGGGAGCGTGTTCAAGAGAGAGTTGAGATCAGAACCCCTTTCTGAGGCCTAGATTCATCCAAATATGTACCGCAGAATGCACCCTCACACAGATAAGCCACTAAGTGTCTCAGGCCACTCACCCCACTGACAGCACCACCGAATCGGTCTCCTGGGCCAGGAAGCTGCATAGGTTGTGATACATGTCTGCAAGAGGAATCCAGGTGTTAAGCAGTGTGACGAGAGCCCAGCACTTTCTGCTACAGTCCCAGAAATAGCCGCTGTCATAGTGGACGTGGTAATAACATCCTTTCGATGTTCCCATTCTTGATTCTTCTGAGGTGACTTTGGCCAGCTCTGCCTAGGTAAGGCCAGGAATCACTCCCCAATTCCTGAATATCAAGATTTTGTTGAAACTTGTAGTTCACTTTCTCTATAGCCTTGAATTTTATAGTGTGGATAAACTAAAGACTTGGAATGATTGGGGATCTGAAATGGACATTGCTAGGGATCCATGTGTTTGCAGATCCAGCCTTGGAGGATTAATGTGCTCCTAGATTTACATCCACGAGGAGATAAAGATGACCAGATAAGATGTTTATACTAGTGAACAGGTCATCAAGATTAGTGCACAGCTCATCTTGGTCCAACTTGGGACCTTCTTGGAGAAACTGTCTGATCAGAAACACTGACTCACTCTGCATTCCACCCCTTTGTTAACCACATCTGAAACCATCTCTGTATTGTGTTCTCCTGCATGGTCTAGTCTTCTCCTTTGACTTGCAGATCTCTAGGTTAATGGACTAGTTTTTTCCCCTTGTTTTCTGGTGTGTCCCTTATTCCTGAAGAGGGTCTAGGGATAAGTAGATGTTCAGGAAATATCTGGTGAGCCATTCCTGCTTCTGCTTAAGATTTGGAAATAAAGGGGGAAGGGTGGGACCAGGAGGAGATGAGAGAAGGGGCTACAGCCAGGATATAAAGTGAAAGAATTATCAAAAAAATAAAAAGGAAATAAAAAATCATAAAATATTTTTAAAGAAATAGAATAGAGGATGGCAGCTTGGAGAAGAGGATCTCAGGGACTAATAACTGTAATGAGTGAACAAAGACAGTGAAAAGCTGGATAAGGATGGGTACCACACACAGGATATACTTATAGTTAATTTACGAATGAGGGAAGGGAAGACATCTTGGCAACATCTTCAGAACTGCTTTGGCACCCTCAGTCACCAGAAGGTGGTAAGTAACCCTTAGTTCAGGAACAATGTTTTTTGAGTCTACACAAGCAACAAGTAGAGAAGAACAAGTGAGCAGCTCAGGATCCCTGTTGTATTGAGAGGTTCACAGGCTACAGAACAGCAAGGGTAAGGTGAGGCACCAGTGGCAAGGTGGAGGTGTGGCCAAGGACTCAGAGGAGACGAAAGTGCACCAGTGACAAATATTAGGTCCTTCTTTTTGGGGAGAGATGAAACTGAAGAATGATAATTGTAGCAAGGAAACAACTTTTGGGTAAGAAGATGATCTGGTGATCAAGAATGAGTTGAGGGAAGCTCGTAGACTTGGAGTCATTATGGGACAGATAGGAATAGCCAGTGCTATGGGGGAGAAGAAAAGGGAGGTGTCACACCCAGTGCTGGCAGAGCTCCAGTGAGCATTGCTGCCCAAACCTGGACTAAAACAAATGGATTATTCAGGAAATATTGATATGGAGGCTTCAGCCCCATTGAATGATATGATTTCCAAGCCCTCAATCCATTCTCCCCAAAAGCTCCAATTTCTACTTGCTTTGACTCCTTGACAAGAGGTTCTCATAGGAATGTATGCAACATTCCACCTGTCATGAGGACTTTCCTCTCTCACCCAACACACAGGCTACTCACCCAGGCTGCCACATATGGTGCCCCCTCCATGGTAGAAGATGATGCCCCGCCGGAGCTCTGAGGACAGTGCCTTGGGCTGGAACAGTCTCACTGGGATGGTCCCAAATTTCAAGTTGGTCACTACCAAGTTATGGTTCTTCTTTATGACTAGTGTATCATGGAAAAACTGGATGAATCTGGGCATGGAGCAAATTCTCAGTTTCTGTAATATATTTCCCTGTAGAAGTCAAAAAGAAAAATAAAAGATGATGATAAAAGAGAAGGAGGGAGAGAATGAGGAGGGGAGGAGAAAGAGAAATAGGCAAGGAAGAGGAGGAGGAAGGCATAGAAGACTCTAAGGTAGGCATATAGATGCTGCAGCCACTTAGCATCACTAAAATGAGTTGACCATTTCTCTCCTGACTCTTCCATGCACAGTGGACTCATGTGGCTACAACTGGCTGTGAATTCTGCTCAGGGAGAAGATGGGTTTTCAGAGTTTCTACCCAAAACATACAGATTAGATAATGATGTGGTTGTGATTTAATTATTTGTCATAACCAAAATTCATAAAATTTTACTATCATTGTGTTCAGATGGTCTCTTCACAAGACAGACACATAGTTTAGTTTAAAGGCATAGAGCAGAAGACCTAAATATAACTCACATGGTCACAGCCACCTGAGCTTCAGCAAAGATGACTAAAAGGAGAAAGAAGAACCTCTTCAACAAATGGGCAAACTGAATATCCCCATGTCAATGGCTTGTCCTATTTCACTTTGTATAAAAACAAGCCCAAGTGGATCAAAGACTGTACTGTAGGACATGACACTCTAAATATGTTAGAAGACACAGTGGAGAAAATACTTCAAGATATAGGCAAAGATAAAGACTTGTTGCACAAGACTCCAGATTCTCTGGAAATAAGGCCAGCTATTGACAAATGAAAATAAAAGGCTTCCATATACAAAGGAAACAGTTTTAACTGACTGAAGACTCAAACTATAGAACGGAAAACAGCCTTTGCTGGTGATGCCTCTGATGGAGAAATACACATATTGTCCTATTTTATTTTATTTATTTATTTATTTTTGCTGGGTAAGTAACTCAACCACAGCAACTTGGAGGAGAAAACAGTTTTCTTGGCTTACAAGTTAAAATTCATCATCAAGGAAAACCAAGGCAGGAACTCAAGACAGGAACATAGAAGCAGGAACTGAAGCAGGAAACGTGGAAGAAAACTGATCGATGGCTTGCCCCGCCCCCTGTTTTCTCAGCTGCCCCCTCAGGAACGGTCACACCCTGTGTACTGGGCCTTCCCACATTCCTTTAAGACATGTCTTTGGTACTAGATCACCAGGGGAAAACTGTGTAATTATAATCTCAAAAAAATAGAAGAAATAATTTCATTTAAAAATATGTGTCTTTTAAGTGGTGATTATGTGATACACCCAATATAGATAAAGGTCTTAATGGGTAGAGTGAGATAGCTACCTCTGGAGGCTATAGCTACCTCTGGAGGAGGGTCCCAGAGATGAGTTCTTGGCTGAGAAACTAGAAAAGGCTTGCACCTAGAGCAAAGCAGACATGAGCCAAAGGCTGAGGCAACCACCAGCTAACTGAAAAATACTGGCCACCATCATCCATCGTGGAGATCCAGCCTCCATCATTTGCAGATGGAAAAGTGATACCCAAGGAAGCGGTCAGGGAGTAGGTGGAACTACCCCTAGACAAGGTCTTCTGACAAGTCCCAGCAGGGCCAGTCCCGGGTCTTGGTTAAATGCATTTGTTTTAGTTCAGAGGCCAGTGGGGTCCCCCGGTATTCTAGGAACAAGCTCCCCAAATGGATCTTCAATGATGACTTTCCTGTTTGAGCTTTGAGAGCATCTAGCCTGCAAGGTGTGTGTCACCCGTGTCCCACCAGGAATGCAAGGTCAGCCTAGACCTTCGGCCGTTCAGCTCTCAACCCCCTCAGATTTCAAGGCGTCCTTGATGGTACAAGTTGGTTCCCTCAAGAGCAGACTGACTACACCTCTTGTTCATGCAGCCTCCCATTTTTGCCTGAGAGCCTTTCTTACCTGTTCTCAGGCCCCCAACAATCACCCTTTGTGATGATAGCTGTGCATTCCTTAAATACCTTCACTGCACTTGCCAGGCTTCCTCGGAAATTGCCTAAGACTTCACTGCCAAAACATGATCACCCATACCACCCAATGAGGTATCTTTGATGTCAACCATCTCATCCTATTTCTCTCTCGGCCTCCACCTCTGGAATAGCAAATATCTGTTTGACAATATTGAACAGCGTGTGATATTAAACTAAGACCCACACCCTTAAAAAAAAATCCATTAGATACATCAGAGAGTTGAACTGTTCTGTGCGGGCTCGCCTTTTCAGAAATTCACACCGCTCACAGCTGTGAACTAGAAATGATGCTGTAGAAGGGAAGCTGCGGGTTGCCAGGAGTGTGGTGTTTCTGGGGAACCTAGTTGCCGGAGGCCATCATTCTACCATGCCAGAGCTCTACACTGTCCCGTAATTCCACACAGTCCGTGAGCTTGAAACAGCTTGGCCTCTTGGAAAACACGTGCAGAAAAAATAAATAAACAAATGAGGGGTTGAAGCCAGAAGCTTTCAATGATTGTATTGAACAAGCCTTGTTCATTCCACAAAGCGTAGACCATTGGGCAGAAAAATCTCAACAGCACAGGAGCACGTTACTTTTTTAAGTCACAAATCAATCCTGTTATCCCTTATCATATGTCATGTAATATGTCTATCAACCCCACAAGACGGAGAATGTTCCCTGACATGAAGATGAAGACTCTTAACATAGTCAGTGGTTAAGCAAAGGGCTCCTGCAGCCAGTAAGGACAGAACAGAAACGCTTGGCAAACAGCTTGGCTGCAGCTGCTTCTCACTCCTTTCCTCTCCACCTCCTCTTTTACAGCTGCCCTCTGAGGAAATCACTCGGGAACTGTCTGGCCATGACCTGTCCTTAGCCAAGGTTAAGACATTACATTTATTCAAACCACTTACCTCCCACACAGGCTTTCTTTCCAATCTACTGTGCCTGTGGACAGGCTATGTCCCAACCAGCAACAGAGGTAAGTTCAGAGTCCAGCCACCCAAGGCAGCCATGCCAAAAGGCTGGATATATGCATCATTACATAGATGATTTCATCAGCAAAGGGCTCCTGCTGGGAAATAGTCTGTGGCTTCAAGGTGTTCACAACATAGAGAAGCAAGCGAGTGGAAAGCAGAGGGGGCTGCTGAAGGAGGTGTCACAAGTATTGGGCCATGGGTTTATCATCAGTAGAAACTGAGTGTGCAATTAGTTTTAAGTCCTCAGAAAAGAGCCCAGTAGATGAGTAGTGGTTCCTGCTTCCCATCCCAGCCCTCAAGAGGTAGGAGCCAAAAGATAACCCCTCAAAAATCATGAGGCCCTTATGTCAAAAAATTAAAAAGACAAGAAGAGCTGGGGATGTGGCTGAGTGGATAGAGTGCTTACCATGCACTCAAGCTCTGGTTTGATCCTCAGAGCCATGTAAACCGAGCATGATAGTGTACACCTCTAACCCCAGCACTCGGGAGTTAACACTTACAACCCCAGCACTTAGGAGGAAACAGTGTGACAATCAGGATCCTCAGATCACTTCTGTTACATAGTGAATTCAAGGCCAGCCTGAGCTCCGCCAGGTGCTGTCTTAAAAAAAAAAAAAAAAAAAGTAAGAACAAAGACAGGATGCAGGCAAGGAGGTAGGAAGGAAGAAGGAGCAAGGGAAGGAGGGAGAGAGAGACAGACACAATGTTTCCATGTTGCTAAGACACCACAGTGTAGTTACCTTAGTCTTGGGTGGGGGCAGGAATCTAGGGAGGAAAGAATGGAAGAAGAAGGAAAACTACAGACATGAACCCTGAAAACCACAATGTGCCCGAGAGCAGACTCACCAGAGCCATTATGTACAGTGCCACACAATGCAGAAATCTGAATTTGATGGGATGCTGCAAGGCTGAGGGGATTCTCACACTGACAAAGTGCCGAATGACAGCCCACATGAAGACTCCCACGTTAAAGGTGGACAGGCTCCCAAGCAGCAGCACCCACAGGAGAACCATTGTCCTGAGGCCCTGACAGACTGCGAGGCCCCGAGAGACTGCGCTTCTTGGGAACAACTGACCCGGTTTTATGGCCTACCACCTCCACTACTCCATTCAGACTGTCCCTGACTCAGTGGCCTGACCTAGCCTCTGAGATACCTATACAGATCAACACAAGCCAGAGGAACCAGCTCCCCAAGGAACAAAGGTACTAGGAAAGCTGACCTGGATGACCAAGGTAGTTTGAGAGACAGGATTCCAAGGATGAACTGGATGTGAGCTTTCACAATATCGATCTGCTGCAGCACAGCGGGAGAGCTCTCTACATGACCCCTACGGCCTGGCCCTTCACCGAGCATGAAAGGACATGAACCCTGCTGCACTAGCTTGGTGATGGGTGATGAAGTCATCCAGTTTGTAAATATTTGCTTAACTGCCCACCAGAACCCAGCCTCTCCTCATTTCTGACCATTTGGCTTTGGATAGGCTCTCTTCTCTCTGGCCAAGCCCAGGTGTGGCTGCAGGTCCCAGGGATGCAGACACCTGAGCAGCACTAGAGGGTCCAATGGGCAGAGTTTTGTACAGGCTACATATTCCAAGTCCAGGGAAAATTCGATAGGAAAAGCGCATGACTATTATTTCCATGTGTTTGTTTAATTGTCATCCAGAAAGTACATGACAGGGATGATGAGGTGTGTTAAAGCATCAAGCATAAGGACCTGAGTTCAGACCCCAGGATCTATGTGATGGGAGGAGAAAACCCTACTACCACGTGTTGTCATTTGACCTCCGTGTATGCCTACGCATATGCACACATATGCACAATATAAGTTAATAAACTTTAAATACATAACACAAAACGTCCTGTCAGAGCCGCTTCTAAGTGTGCAATGCGGCAGAGTTAACTGGATGTGTCAAATGCGATAGATGTCTTACAACAATAAATTCACATCCTTGCCCTTCCCTCCTTGCCAATGCCCAGACAACCACAATTCTACTCTGTGCGAGCCTGGCTATCTTAGGCACCTCCATGATGGACCTATGCAACGCTTGCCTTTTTGCAACTGCCTTAGTCCACTTAGCAGAGTGTCCTCCACCTTAACAGCACTGCAGCGGGCACCATTTTTTTTTTAATAATTGTCCTTCCTGTATATGCCACCACCCTTTATTGATGTTTTTTATCTCTGTGGTTACTAAAGATGAAAGCTAGGGCCTTGAACATATGAGGCAAATGCGCTACCACTGAACTCCACCCCAGACTCCACATTTCCCTTATCCATGGATGGACATTTATGTTTCCTCTACTTTTTTGCTACGATGTATAACGCTAACACAGTCTCCTATGTACAAAAATATTCACTCATTTTAAGTGTTTTTATTTGTCTAGAATGCATCTGTTGTGCACATGTGGGTATGCAAAGTACATATAAAATCAAAACGTTAAGCCAGAGGAATCTTCACAGAATGAATTCTCTCAGTAATGACCGTCTCCTGCTATCTTTCAGGCAGGAACCTCAGCATATCTAAATTACAAACAATTTTCATTTATCCGTCATTCGCAGGCAAGAGAGCTGATCCCAGAAGAGCTATGGTTACATAGAATAACATCAGCAGCTTCAGCTGAGACTTAAGGAGGTCTTCTTTTCCTTCCTTCTGATCCTAGTCAATTAGGTCTCATCAGGACTGGCTGCATTGTCTTCTTCTGTGGCCTGGTAATGCTGCTCCCCCCTCAGGGGGAGGTAATTCAAGAGCAGGCCAATCAGTTCATGTCAGAGACAGTCCCTGTTCCTATTACAATGGAACCCACTTGGATACTGAACTGCTATGGGCTACATCTGTGCAGGGGTCTTAGCTTATCTCCATGCATGGTCCTTGGTTGGAGTATCAGTCTCAGGAAAGACCCCTGTGCTCAGATTTTTCTGGTTCTGTTGCTCTCCTTGTGGAGTTCCTGTCCTCTCCAGATCTTACTGTTTCCCACTTCTTTCCTAAGATTCCCTGCACTCTGCCCAAAGGTTGCCCATAAGTCTCAGCGTCTGCATTGATAGTCTGCAGGGCAGAGCCGTGCTCACTTTGGCAGCACATATACTAAAATTGGAACGATACAGAGGAAGTTAGCATGGCCCCTGCGTGAGGAAGAATTTCAAAGTGAGCCCACACAGTATGCTGATGAATCTGGTCCTGTCCTGGAAGTGGAAGAGCTGCTTCTTTGTCCCTGCCTTCTGAAGCAACCACCGAAGTGTCAGCATAACTCAACACAGGCAAGATGTCCTCTTCAAAGAAACCTTTAAGTCCCAGCCAGCACAGCACACCTGGACAATTCAGACCTAACAAGAGGCTACAGCCCTGCCATTGACCCAAGGAGCGTAGCACAACTAAGAGGCTCCAATGCTGAGTGTCACAAATGAGCATAGCAAGCATGGGAGGCTGAAGTTCTGCCTGCTCTCCCCTCAGTCACAGTGTTATACACTTGCCCAGGTAGAATACAGCCATAGAATACATACATTCATATACATATATATTTCAGCCTCCAGGCCCCGGATGCACAAATCCTAACGCAAAAAACACAAATAATATGGGGGGAGGGGAAACAAGGCCCTTTAACTCCTCCAAAAATCACTAATTCCACAGTTAGTGGTTCCTCTGAAAGTGACATATGAAACCAAGAAAAGATTATGTGTATTTTAGGGAACTCTAAGAAAATAAGTTCTTGAAATAACCTTAAGAGAACACAGGTAGATGAATTTAAAAAGAAAAATAATACATGGCATAAAAGAGGAATTTAATAAAGAGAAATATTTAATAATAAGCTAATTGATGAAATGGAAATAACATAAGTCAAAATTTAAAAGTCTGTGGACAGCATCATCACAGAGGAAAATGGATCAAGGGGAAGGACAGAATATTTGAGCTCAAAGCCAAGGTGGAATAAACAATTCTGTACAATAAAAGAACTTCTGGAGGTATCACCATTCCTGATTTCAAGCAGTATTACAGAGAGATAGTAATAAAAACCCACACAGAAAAAAACCCACATGGTATTGGTATAAAAACAAACAGGTTGATCAATGGAATTGAAGACCCAGAAGTAAACCCACACACCTACAGACACCTTATTTTTTACAAAGAAGCCAAACCATACAGTGGAAAAAAAAAAAAAGCATGGTGCTTGTCAAACTGGATGTCAGCATGTAGAAGAATGCAAATAGATCCATATTTATTACTCTGCACAAAACTCAAATTAAAGTGGATCAAAGATTTCAACATTGCCCCAGATATACTAAATCTGATAGAAGAGAAAGTGGGGAATAGCCTTGAATTCATTGGTACATGAGACAACTTTCTGAACAGAACAACAACAGCGCAGGTTCTAAGATCAAGTTAATAAATGAGACCTCATGAAACTGAAAATCTTCTACAAGACAAAGGACACTGTCAATAGGACAAAACAACAACTTACAGAATGGGAAAAGATCTTCAAGACTACATCTGACAGAAGGCTAATATCAAAAATATATAAAGAACTCAAAAATTAAACACCAACAAACCAAATGATCCAATTAAAAATGGGGTATGGCCTGTTATTTGTTTTCTCCTATGTACAATGCCCACCCAATTTGTCTTTCTAAGTGAGGATTGATCATCTTACCTCGGGTCTTCTTTCTTGTTTATCTTCTTTAGGTGTATAGATTTCATTATGTTTATCATATCTTATAGGTCTATATAAGTGAGTATATACTATGTGTGTCTTTCTCCTTCTGGGATACATCACTCAGAATGATCTTTTCTAGATCCCACCATCTGCCTGCAAATTTCATGATTTCTTCCTTTTTGATTGCTGAGTAGTACTCCATTGTTTAAAAATACCACAGTTTCTGTATCCATTCCTCTGTTGATGGACATCTGGGTTGTTTCCAGGTTCTGGCTATTACAAATAAAGCTGCTACAAACATGGTTGAACAAATGTCCTTGTTGTGTACTTGAGCAACTTCTAGATATATGCCTAGGAGTGGTATAGTTGGGTCTTGAGGAAGCACTATTCCTAATTATCTGAGAAAACGCCAGATTGTATGTAGGAGCAAATAAGTAACAGGACAGGAGCCTACCACAGAGGGCCTCTGAAAGACTCTACCTAGCAGTGTATCAAAGCAGATACTAAGACCCACAACCAAACCTTCAGCAGAGTGCAGGGAATCGTATGAAAGAAGGGGGAAATAGTATGACGTGAAGAGAACAGGAGCTCCACAAGGACCAAATATATCTGGGCACAGAGATCTTATATGAGACTGTTTATCCAACCAAGGACCATGTATGGATATAAACTAGAACTTCTGCTCAGATGTAGCCCGTGGTAACTCAGTAACCAAGTGCGTTTCCCTAGTAAGGGGAACAGGGACTATTTCTGACATGAACTCAATGGCAGGCTCTTTGACCTCCCCAACCCCCAAGGGAGGAGCAGCTCTGCTAGGCCACAGAGGAGGACTTTGCATCCAGTCCTGAAGATACCTGATAAAACAGGGTCAGATGAAGGGGGAGGAGGTCCTCCCCTATCAGTAGACTTGGAAAGGGGCAGGGAGGAGATGAGGGAGGGAGGGTGGGATTGGGAAGGAATGAGGGAGTGGGATACAGAATTAATAAAATGTAACTAATAACAAAAATAAAAAAATTTAAAAGGAGGGTATGGATCTAAACAGAAAATTCTCAACATCAAAATCCTTAATGGCCAAGAAGCTCTTAAAGATATGCTTAATGTCCTTAGTCATCATGGAAATACAAATCAAAATGACTCTGAGATTCTATTTTACACCCGTCAGAATGGCTAAGATCAAAGCCTCCATTTACTGTACACACCAACAAAGATGTGCAGCAAGAAAAATACTCCTCCATTGCTGGTGAGAGTGCAAACTTGTACTGCCACTGTGGGAATCAACCTGGCTGCTTCTCAGAAAATTGGGAATAGCTCTACCTCAAGATAAATCTATAACACTCCTGAGCATCTACCCAAAAGATGTTCCACCATACCATAAGGACACTTGCTCAACTATGTTCATAGCAGTTTTATTCATAATAGTCAGAAACTGGAAACAACCCAGATGTTCCTCAACTGAAGAATGGATAAAGAAAATGTGGTATATTTACACAATGGAATATTACTCAGCCATTAAAAACAAAGACATTATGAAATTTGCAGGCAAATGGAGAGAACTAGGAAAGATCATCCTGAGTGAGGTAACCCAGAAAGACACACATGGTATGTACTCAGTTATAAGTGAATATTAACCATAAAGTACAGGATAACCATGCTATAATCCACAGACACAAAGAAGCCAAGGAGGGCTCAAGGGAGGATGCTTGAATCTCACTCAGAAGAGGAAATAAAATAGACATTTGAAGTAGATGAAGGGAGAGAACTGGGTGAGAGAGAGGGTGGGAGAGTAATAGGGGTAAGAATCAGATATGGGGAGAATGGGGTGGGGGAAACCAGGAAAGAGAATGGAAATCAGTGGGGGCCATCTCTGTGGCATGGAGAGCCTCCCGGGAGGTGACCCTCGCTGAAACTCCTAATGGAAGGGGATATGGAGCCTGAAGTCACCACCTCATGTAGCCAGGTGGGACTTCCAGTGGAGGTAAGGGACACCAGCCCACCCACAAACCCTTCAACCCAAAATTTGTCTTGTGTACAAGAAGTGTAGGGATAAAGATGGAGCAGAAATTAAGGGAACAGCAAACCAATGACTGGCCCAACTTGAGACCTACCCCATGGAAGAGAGCTAACACTTGTCACTATTAATGATACTCTGCTATGCTTCCAGACAGGAGCTTAGCATAACTGCCTTCTGAGAGGCTTCATTCAGCAGTTGATGAAAACAGATGCAGAGACCCACAGCCAAACAACAGACTGAGCTCAGGGAGTTTTGTGAATGAGTGAGGAGGAAGGATAGAGGGAGTCAAAGGGGTCAAGGACACCACAAGAAGACCTACAGAATAAACCAATCTGGGAGCACGGAGGCACACAGAGACTGAACCACTAACCAAAGGACATGCATAGGCTGTACCTAGACTCCTTACACATATGTAGCAGATGTGCAGCTTGGTCAACATGTGAGTCACCTAACAATGGGTGTAGGGCTATCTCTGACTTTATTGCCTGCCTCTGGATCCTTTTCCCCTAGCTGAGCTGCCTTATCAGACCTCAGTCTGAGAAGAGGTGCTTAGTTCTGCTGCAACCTTTGGTGTCAAGGTGGTTGGTACTTCTTGGAGGCCTCCCCTCTTCTGAGAAGAAGAGAGGGCTTGGGGGGAGCATGAGGATGCAGCTGGGAGGAGAGGAAGGAGAGGGCTGAGATTAGGCTGTAAAGTGATCAAACAAACAAACAAAGAGTGTATGGATAGCTTCACCAAGAGAACAGATCAAAGAGAAAGACTGAATGTTTGAGTTCAGAGCCAAGGTGGAGTGATTGGAACATCCCAGCAAGGACAAATTAATAAAAAGTGTGATATTGAATAGCAAGGTGTTCAGGACACTAAAAAGATAAAATTTAAAAACAGTTGGGATAGAAGAGAAAGAGAAATTGCTTTCCAAAAACATATAAAGCATTTTCAATGAAGTCACAGCAGAAAATTTCCCTAACTTAGACAAAGAAACAACTATCTAGATACAGGAAAGTTTAAAATATCAAACAGGCAAGACCAAAGAAGAACTTCCTCTTGGCATATTATAACTAAACAACTAAATATTTAATGTGTTGAAAATAGTAGACAAGAATAAGTTACATACAAAAGCAGGTCTGTCAGAATAGCATCAGATTTCAGAAGAGAAACTATAAAAGTCAGGAGGGATTGGAATTATGTTCTTCCAGTTTTGAATGACAACTACCAAGTCTGATTATTATACCCAGAAAAACTATCAATCATAATTGAAGGAGAAGGCAAAAGTTTCTACAATAAAAAAAAAAAAAAACTTAAATTCGTAATCATTTTGCAAGCTCTACAGGATACTTGAAAGAATTCTTCAGACTTTACAGATAGACAAACATTCTTATAGCCACACGGAAGAGCAAATCATTCCAGGATAAACATTAAGCATGAAGGAATAAAAAAGAACAAATAGCTGCACTACCAACAAAATGACAGGAACTAATACACATCTTTCAATAATAACACTAAATTT